GCTTAGAACCTTGAAAAATTGTTTTCTGTATGTTTGACGACGTGCTCTTTCATTTGGACAGGTCAAAAAATTTTTAGTGAATATGATTTTTCGGTTGAAAAACCAAATCTTTAAAAAAACGGGTCTTTAAATCGAAAGCGGGGAAAAACCATTGTGATATTCGGAATCAGCACATTCGATTACCTATTGTCAACTGAGTTTCAGCTCAAAAGCGAGGAGGCAGTTGGTGGCCTTCCCTCGTAAGAAACATTTGACAAATGAAAAAACACTTGATTTTACCTACCAGTCTTTTGAGAAAGACAATTGTTTTCATATGAAATTCAAAAAGTTTCTTGATAATTCTAACGCCGAAGGTGATGACTATTGATCAAAGACATACTTTCCATTGTTGACAATGTAGAACACATTATAATAAGCTTTGTTCTATTTAATGAATTAACTTCATTATATAATTGAAACTCAATTTCTAACTCCAAGAATTTCTATTCAGTATCTGCTTATTTTAAGTAACATGCATGATGCACGAGATATTACCAACCTGTTTAATATTTATTTATTGATCAAATGACACACGTCATGTGAATCAAAAGTAAAAAATAATATTTATAAAAAAACCTCTCTTATACCTGAAAATCTTATTCATCAACAAACTGAAAATGCATTGCTAGATTTTATTGATAAACCTTCAATGGTTTAGATCAATATCTTATCAGTTTAGATGATGTCCATACAAGAATCAACTACTATTTTTCAAATAATACTGTTTGAAAATAATTTTTCGTTTTCACATTTATTATTGTAGCAAAAATGTTTTTTTTTTTTTAGATGACGCAATTTTACAGTCAATTTTATATAATTTTCAAAACAAAATGAATAGCGAGAATAATTGACAATATTTGTATGAAAAGGTATCCGATCAGATTCAACATAATTTAAGAACGGTTTTTATCGGATTTATTTATTAATCAAAACCATGTTATCAGTCCACAGCCATCATCTTCAATTGAATAATAAGGGTGTTTGTTAAGCGACAATCGAAGGATAGAATGACATAATTGTTTAATAAATTTTGTATTATCTTTAAATGCGATTTTGACTTCATCTGCACTCGAACTACATGCGCGTCGAAAGCACAGAGCAAAATTGGTGACCCTAAGTGCTTCTTCTGCAATCATTTGACAGTTATTAGTATCGACAGCTTTTGGCAAATCATACATAAATATACCTAACGAATTCAATTGTTGCAAAGTTGAGAGTGAATACGATACTGCTGGCCAGTCAGGTAACATATAGTTAGAAGCGTGATACATAATGTAAATACGAATAGAACGAATAGTTGCTGCAAATGATGAACAATCATTTAGACAATTGATACTGTTGACGAGAGTTATATTACGAAGAGCAGATAAATGTATGGCAAAAGGTGTATTATAATAGAATAGATTGCACGTTTCAATACAATCGGATAATGCTACATGAGGTAAAGAGCATATAGATGATGTCATATTTTCACTAGATGTATCTAATGTACGAAGAGATGATTGATAAATTGTTGTCATTGTTTGAGGTTGTTCAAACACTTGTATTTTAGTGATCCATCCCTTTAGCTCATATTCGTGAAAAAATTCATCAAATGTCCATGGAAGAGTATACCACATATGGTGACAATATTGAAAACCGCGACCCTATAAATATAAAGAATATATTAACATATTATTAGATAAAAGTTAGAGTATCAACTAAAGCACAAAGATTTTCTTTTTCTTTGTGTTTCAACTTGAAATAAGATGTAAAAAATATAGAAAAATATAATAGGGTAATGACTTACGAAATGATTGTCATTAGCGATCCGGTCCGGTCTGTAGGACCAGTCATTAACAACGAATGTTGCACCAACAATTTCTCGTGGATAAAAACAATTACCACGTGGTATATATTGAGTCATTTCGAGGAATTCAGAACAATTAATGAGATGGAAGGCGAAATGAACATCGATATGACGATGATCGGTAAAAATTGATGATGAACCAATACGTTTTAAATCATCTATATTAATAAAATAAGATATATTGGCACGTCGAAGAACAGGCATAACATTCGAAGATGTCAACATTTCGATAAATGTCCATTCAATTCTTAACCATGAGAAAAAATTTTGAAAAAAAGTGAATGTATGTAAATTAACCATTGGAATCAATGAATGAAATATTGACGTAGTACAATACTTGCGGTAACCACCATTACCAATTGTAACGTGTAACTGACATAATGAATAGGAAAGTTGTTGTGTCGACATAATACGAACTAAATCATCCATGGATGGCAATAGCAAACGCAGATAGGTAAGAGGAACATGCACAGTAATGGGCCAATTTATCCAGTAACATTTTAAGCCAAAGTCGAGAGATCGAAGTGCAGGAAAATGAATAAGAAGAATATTATGCATTAACTTCTCTAAGTCACCTAATGGGTGTATAAAATCGATCGAATGACCATCCTGAAAAAAGAAATTCTATTTAAATATCATTGAGTTAAGAATCAAAGCTAATAGCAACTGAATTGATCATTGGATGCAAAATAGCAGTGTTTTTGATTAATAAATCAATTCTCAAACTAAAATTTCTATTCAAAAACATCTATACAATAGTTAATAACATATCTTTTGCAAATCTGCAGACTCACAACAAATCTGTCTTCAAACAATCTGTTCAAACCAGTAGAAATTATGAGACGTAAAAAATTCTCACTGTTCAAAGAAAACTGTCTTATCTATCCACTATAACATTTCATGGAAATTTCCAATAAGTCTGGCTTCAAAAGTAAATATTCGCGATAGTCATTTGATCAAATTAAAATTCTCAAATAACGAGAATAGTTCATCTTTTATGCAGTCCATTTGTAGAAACGATTTCTTTTTTTTATAGGTACCATGAATAAATTTCAAAGCAGAACAGTACCTCAACGTTTTCAATTCTTAGTTCGACGATATCATTTCTTGCTAAACTCTGTGTACTAAAACAAATTATTAACACTTACTGGGACTAGTCTTTCGTTTGATTTAATAATGAGATGAGTGAGTGTAGCTGCATGAAGCAAAAGAAAGATCAAGAGGTGATCATAATTATATACACCTATAATACGCAAAGTTCTCAAACGAGGCATATATGGCCAAAGAGTTAATTGAAGTGGACATGCATAACTATCAATTGAAACTGATTGAATATCATTCAATGGAAGAAAACGAAGAATTGTATTAAATTGATGATAACGTCCAAATGATAAATTAATATGACGAAAGAAACCTTTTTCAATAATTAACGTTGTCAAATGATGATTAAGACGCGTAAATCCCCAAAGAATGTCGATAGATGATAGATATGAGAACAACTTGATCAATACTAGATCGGGTAGATCATCAAAACGTGTAATCAACGCCATATATTGATATAAACGAGTATTACTACATTTTTATAGCTCTACTCTTTTTTTATATTCATTGACGGACGTGCTTTTTTCTCTCATTTCTTTATACTAACCGTCTGAATAAGAAATGACAATATATGTTGAATATGATCGTTACCACAGAGATAATGACGAATGAACGAATCATTTTTTTTTGTGTTGTTCCATATATACAACATTTCATTTTCACATTTAAAGGTCAAACACACGTAGTATACGGACACGTCCGGACGAATCATCAAATCAATATCAAATGGCGAGCAGGTGGGTGTGGTGTGGGTGTGGGCGTGGTATGGGTGTGAGTGTGGTGTGGAAGTGTGGTGTAGTGAAAACAAGACCCACACCGCACACCCTCCTTTTTCAAGGTTGTCACATACAGCAGAGTAGGTTTATTTGCTTGGTTAAAATGTAAAAATTCGTTTTCAAGATTTAGTGTTTTAGCTGCTAATCAGCTAGAAGAAGGTTTGTGTAAGCGAACAGTGAGCTGGAATACAAGAAGTCAAATCGTCATTATGTTTTCATCGAATATTTGTTGCATTAGATACAAAAAGTCCTTTATTGATCTTCTGTAGTTCTTGCAGATCCCATTCCATATGCAGCAACAGCCAGTGCCACATAAGTAAAAAAGTGTCCTGCGACCGCCAAGTTATACGAATATCCAGCCTGGGCTTCTTGGATCAGTGATAATAATTGGTCTGATGCAATAGTTAAGTTGTAC